AAAATTGATAGAGCGATAAAGAGGCGCAATGCTGAGTGGAGAAAATATCAAGAAATCCGGGGCTTTCGACGCTGGCTGCAGTACAAAAGGTGTCGAAACATGGCTATTAAGCTACAGCGGCAGGCGAAGTACTCATATGAGCTTAGGTTGGCTAAAATTGCGAAAACTAATCCCAAGTGTTATTACAGTTATGTCCAGTCAAAGGCTTCCTTAAGAGAGGTGGTCGGCTGTCTAACCATGGAGGACGGTACCCAGGCTGTGGACGACGTCGATAAAGTAGAAGTGCTGCTACGTGTCTACCAAAGCCTGCATCGGAAGGATAGTGGGTCAGCCTTGCCATCACTACCGCACTGCTCAACTAGCTACACAATGCGGGATATTATTCTCAATGTGTCAGAGGTCTTCACAGTGCTGGCCAATTTGAACCCTTATAAATCAGCCGGTCCTGATAGCGTACATCCCGCCATAGTTAAGCCTCTGGCTGATATCCTCCAGTATCCCGTAGTGGAGTTATTCAACCAGTCTCTTCAAGAAGGCAAGCTGCCACGTGATTGGAAGGAGGCGACTATTGTTGCCATCCACAAGGGGGGTTCTAAGTCGGTGCCTCTTAACTATAGACCTGTTAGTTTGACCAGCATCATGCTGAAATGCTTGGAAAAGCTTATAAAGAACAGGATCTGTGAGCACTTGACTGAGCACAATCTAATTAGAGCGGAACAGCATGGCTTTCTCAAAAAGAAGTCTTGTCTTACCAATTTATTGTGCTTTTTGGACGAGATTACCCGTTGTCTTGATGGTGGGATATCGGTAGAGGTGTGCTATTTAGACTTCAGTAAAGCCTTTGACTCCGTGAATCATCGATTTTTAATTGAGAAGCTGACATGGTTTGGATTACATCCTCAACTACTACTATGGCTCTCTGAATTCTTACGTGGAAGGACATTTAGAGTCAGCGTTGGGGAAGCGAGTTCTAGTGTTGGTCATGCCTACAGTGGTGTCCCTCAAGGTTCGGTTCTGGGTCCATTGCTATTTCTTATGTTTATAAATGACCTGGCTCCTCTTCTTGAGGACCCCTGCTACATCTTCGCAGATGACTTGAAGCTGGTCAGTAGGGGAAACCGTGCGACATTGGCTAAGGACATCCTCACTGTGGTGAATTGGTCAAGTCAATGGGACCTACCTCTAAATGCCAACAAATGTCAACTATTGACTAGTAGTGGTAGCGGAATTGCAGTTCAGTCTCCTTTGGGATTTCTATCATTGCGGTGCACTGACGAAGCCCGTGATCTAGGTGTCATCGTAGCGAACAATTTTAAGCCTTCGGCACAGTGTCGCCATGCTGCCAATAAAGCACGATACGAATTATTTCGTCTTAGGAGGGCGCTGAGCAACACTAAAGCAAAAGTATTCTTGCCCTTATATAAAGCAGTGGTCAGGCCACATCTGGAGTATTGCGTTCAAGCCTGGTCACCGTACCTCCGTAGTGACATCACTTGTATAGAAAAGATTCAGAAACTTGCGACCAGGATGATTGAAGGTCAACGAGGGAAGTCTTATGAAGATCGTCTAAGTAGCTTAGGATTATTTTCCCTGGAACGGCGTAGGTTGAGAGGGGATTTGATAGAGACGTTTAAGATCATTAAGGGACTTAGTGGTATTAGTTCCACCCATCTGTTTGAACTGGCTACGTCAGACCATCTGCGCGGGCATCGCCTGAGGCTTAAACATCACAGAGCTCGTTTGGACATCAGGGCAAAGTTTTTTACGAACCGGGTAGTTAACTACTGGAATAAACTCCCTTCTGATTTAGTGGAGTCTGAGACCGTAGAAGCCTTCAAAAGGGGCTTAGACAATTGTTGGTCCATCCTTTTTCCAGAACTATTGTAGTTGTACTTTAATATGTAGTGTATTTTGATGCTGGCATATGGAAGTGCAGAGATTGCTCTTGTTCTTGCTTCATTCCATTGCAGAAGCAAGAAGAGACAATCCAACGTCGAAGTGCCGGGGGTCGCTTCACTTACCGGCACAAGAACTGGACGCTCGTTAGGCGGAAGCCTCTATCGTCCATCTGACCTGACCTGACCTGACCTGACCTGATCCGCCTCGGCTTTTCGCAAGACGACTATGTTTAAGTGGAAAACAGAGCAGAATTTAAAAACACGTATACAAGCGTGAAGCGACCACAATAAAAAGGCAAAACAGGGTGTAAAACGGGATAAACAAAGGGAACAACCGCAAAATTACCAGTAAGCGTCAGGGAGACGCTTTGGCCAGTACCACTTTAGTCGATCCAAGATATCTTGGATCAGAGGTAATTTGACAGTAGTCAAATTTCCTTTCAAGTGTTTATTCAAACACTGTTTTCCACGTTATTTCAGCTAAAAATTTCGATCATTATGGCATGCCAAAAAATCGAGTTACCGCGTAGTACTCACAGGACAGTAACAATTTAACAAGGGTGCGGTTCGGGTGTCTCATTGGGATTCATCAAGACCTTGGAGCATCTTTTCATTTCCTGGCCCAACGATCCGCTGACTCACGGGATTTTCCTGTCGTTTCTGTCCTATCTGAACTTGAACCCAATGAACAGTGAACCCCCGTGAGTCGTGATAAAATGATTGTGCATAGGAACACATGAATTTCACCGAGCGGTCATATGAGCTGAAAACGATTAATACAAGCAGACGAATTGCTGATAGAAGCGAAGAAATCTGCCTTGCACGTATAAGACAGGCACATCCTCCGGACGCTCAGATAGGAGCTGTAAGGTGAAAGCCGGAGTAGTTAGATTATGGCAGCGCATCACTTCGGGCCAGTAGGCGGAAAACGCAACTGCGCCGACCGGGATTCGAACCCGGGTCGCAACCGTGGGAGGGTTGCATGATACCCCTACACTATCGGCGCGACGTACTGTCTTGCAAAATAATTATACGTGCATAATGGAAAGCGCGAAACTGAACATGGAAGTGCATAACCTCACGGCCAAATCAACACCTATTCCCGATCCTCATTCTGAATTCGCGCCACCGCTAGTGCGTCCCGAACCGATCACATCCCTAACGCCTGGGAGTAAAGTGCAGCAATGAAAATGTCACATATCTACTAGTTCAATCATCACCTCCTTTCACGTCGCTATATAGAACCGTCATCGAGATCCGTGTGTAGCGGAAGCCAACGCAACTTCCTTCACCCGTCATCCGAGTACACCAGTCCTAATGGTCCGAAACGGTTCGTCCCCCATCCCCGACTTCTCCATCCCTTTCGTAGTTAGTCCGGTGCAATGACCTATCCGCCCGTTAGATAACTACCCGATATGCGTTGGCCAACAAAACGACCGATACAGAGCATTAGTGTGCTGCAGTCTGGGAATCGAGACATCAGTGGTCACCGACTTCGCACATGTGGTGTGCGCAACACGCCTTTCGAGCACTCCATCAACGGTAACATGTCGACGCATCATGCTCGCGACGAACACACTCGTTCCGCCTCCTCACGTGCACAAAACCTTATCCGTGACCTTCACTGTCCGGCTCAATCCCTCGCACTTCGACCAGCCGTGATTCGCCTTGTAGCTTGTATTGTTGGCAGTGTCTCGTCCCTATGCCCCCAACCCATTCGGAGTGCTGCAACTAATCTTAACTGCTGCGTCCTGACATCATGTGATGCGTGAGTATGCCAGTTGATATGTGGCGAGATCGCTTCGGCAAAGTATCGATTGAGGGCCACGCTACCGACTCGGTGCCGCAGCGCGGTCGAATTCGTCTGTCATCAGGCTGCTTGCGCGTCCGCCCACCAATCGGTCTTAATCCCCTAGGTTTACGCCCAACCCATGTGCGACTGGAGAACAGGCGTCTCGTGATTGTGTGTAGCTTTAGCGGTTAGCAAGTCCGAAAAGTAACACTACTGGTTGATGCTGCTGATGAAACGGGTTTGCGAAGGACACAAGGGAGCCGTCTTAAGGCATCGCCACTAATCGGCTGTAGGTGGTCTTATGGTGTTTGCATGATACAAACATCCTGTCTGACCGACTGCCTGATGTTGCTAAGGCGCTTTTCACAAAGTCTTGTTCTGTATTACCAATGTCATCATTCTTTATTACTGGTTGTATGCTGACGGGACACCTAGTTGAAGTACTAGTGCACTGCCGCTGTATTGATAGTGTAAGTGTTTCTGTGAAATGTGGCGAAGATTCACATCACCCAATGATGTACAAGCGGTTTCATTGAGTGGCATATTGCTTCCTGTACCCAGTCAGTTTCCACTCTGTGGTAGCTCTGCAACCTCAAGTGGATCTGTTCATCTGCCGCGTACAGCAGGACGGATATTCCATAACATACTAATACCGTGCACTCCTTCGTGCTTTTCCATATGTGTTCCATCATCATGCACCTTTTTTTTAATCCAAGCTTCATGCGAATTTACGACAATCGTACAGGTCGTAATGAAGGGGGGGCTGTAATGAACACCGTCGATTAACCAAACTGATGTTCGAAGTGGCATGTGCCTCCACCACTAACTAAGTCATTGCGAGTAACTTGGCTGTACGTCGCTTGTTCCCTCAATGGTTTGCAGCGCAGTCGTTAGGTTCACGTTCGTTGTTCGCGTGTGGACTTTACTCTGCTGAGCGGGGATGATTCGCGAAACAATGGTGTATCTGAATCCCTTCAGTAAATCTATAGCCCAGTACAGTTCACTTGAACAGCTATGGTGCGATCGCCGAGGTGCAGTAGATCCAGTTGCCAAGGCTCACATATCCCGAATAACAATAAATAAAAACATTGAGAAAACGAGGTAAAGTGGAAACATAACGTAAAGCAAATGGAATCACGGAGGAGATGTGTTCAAGCGATCATGACCAATTGATGATTAACACCCAGATGTAAGAAACTGGATGAAGTAATGCAACTGAATGCGTGATTTGGTCATGTCTGACTGAGTTTTGTTGGGGTTTTATAGGAAAATACGGTTGCGTATTATTACGTAATTAACGACCCAACAAATAATAATGAAAACTCCGAGATTAGATAGGAAAATAGATAGTCAAAAGTGACAATAGTTTGACACAATTTAACACTGTATCACGGTAGGGCACAAGGCACTGTTCAATCGTATCGCGTGTAGTCAGCCTCGTTGGCGAGTCATCGGCCGTGGTGCACGTGATGCTTATGCTGTGTCTTTTTCAAGTCTCACATGAGTCGCTAAGGTCCAGTGACCTTGTATCGGCCAAGCTTGCACGTCCCGTCTGCGCGTGCGTGCGTGCGTGCGGATGCTACACATACTCCTCTCTTGCGAAGAGTCAAAGTGGTCTGAATCGGTCGGGTCTCGTAACTTGACGACCGAAACGTGTGACGTAGTTCGGAGGCGTGACTGGTGATTGCGATTTCGTAGTAGTGGCGTGATTCGAGGGATTGACTGCAGCTTCGATGTGTGCGGGCTTGAGACGGTCTATACTCACTGTGTCGGTCCGAGTTGGGAGTTGAACAGTGAAATGCTTAGGACCGCGAGAAATGACTCGGTAGGGTCCATCGTACGGTGGTTGAAGGGGTTTGCGCACACGATCTGAACGTATGAAAACATAAGCGCAATGCATTAGGTCAGAGGGAACGTAAGAACTTGTACTGGTTGAGAGTGGAGGTGCGTAACAGAGTTTTGACATGTGTAATTTCAACTCTGTTGCAAAATTAGATGGTTGTGGATGTTCTGTACTAGACGGACAGAAATATTCGCCGGGCAGGCGTAAAGTGGTTCCAAAAACAAGTTCTGCAGGTGAGCATTGCAAAGTTTGTCGAAACATTGTACGTAGCTGTAACAACACAAGTGGTAGTAAATCACACCATTGAGATGGGTTGTTGTGAGCCATTAGAGCTGTTTTGATGTGGCGATGCAAACGTTCCACTAAGCCGTTTGCTTGCGGGTGATATGCTGTGGTACGGATGCGTTGGCATCCAAGAATGTTGGTAATGTTTGAGAAAAGAATGGATTCAAACTGGGAACCGCGATCAGTCGTAATGGTGGCTGGAACACCAAATGTCGCGACCCAATGGTTAATGAAATTACGAGCGATTGTTTCCGTGTGAGTGTCAGGTATAGGAATAGCGACTGGCCAACGCGTAAAGCGATCGATGCAAGTGAGGATATACGCGTTGCTATTTGACACAGGAAGAGGACCGACGATGTCCAAGTGAACATGAGCAAAACGGGCATCGGGATTGCTAAAGGTTCCGAAAGGTGAGCGTGTATGGCGGATGACTTTAGAACGTTGACAGGAAAGGCAATTTGCAGCCCATTCCTTGATGTCTCTGTTCATGTTTGGCCATACGTATCGTTCAGAGATGAGACGGATGGATTGGCGGATTCCTGGATGTGAAACATTGTGAAAAGTTTCAAAAACCTGTCGGCGCATAGATGGTGGTACAAATGGACGTGGCACATGCGTCGAAACATCACATTCGATTGTTCCAGGATGTGTATAGAGAGGGAGTGGTTTTAACACAAGTGAAAATTTCTCAGAGGGTGATGAGAATGATTCGGATGATTCTGTCTTCTGAGCCTTCGCCATCTGGTGTAAATCGATTGTGGAAACACAGTCAACACCAGGACGAGACAGAGTATCTGCGACTACGTTTTGGTTGCCGGCAACATGCCGGATATCAGTGGAAAACTGAGAGATGTAATCAAGTTGGCGAATCTCTCGGGGCGAATATTTGTCAGGATTAGCAGAAAAGGCTGAAGCAAGAGCTTTATGGTCTGAATAGATGCAAAATTCACGGCCTTCCAAAAGATGTCGGAAGTAACGCACAGCTAGATATATGGCCAAAAGTTCTCGACCGAATACACTATACCGCGTCTCCGTTGGCTGAAGTCTCTTGGAGAAGAAACCAAGTGGTTGTTTCTGGTGGTCAACGGTTTGATGAAGAACAGCCCCTACTGCAGTGTTAGATGCATCGACGTGGAGAGACAAGGGGGCACCTTGGCGCACATGAAACAAGGTACATTGTTTCGCTAAGGTACATTTGGCTTTCTCAAATGCTTGTTGAGCTTGTTCAGAAAAATGAAAGTCAGAGTGAGTTTCTCTCAACAGGTCAGTCAAAGGCATCAACATAGCGGCTGCATGAGGAATGAAACGACGATAATAATTAACCATTCCAAGAAAACGCTTCAGTTGACGAAGAGAAGTGGGACACGGAAATGAGGTGATAGCGTCTAGCTTAGGTTGTGCGGGAGTAATGCCATGCTGATTAATCGTATGTCCGAGAAAATTTAAAGAGGAAACACCAAATTCGCATTTCTGAACGTTAAGTACTACGCCATGATCTTGTAGGCGTTGAAACAGTATGCGAAGATGGGTAATGTGTTCATCATGGGTTTTGGAAGCAACGAGAATATCATCTAAATAACAGAATACAAAATCCAGATTGTGGAGAACTTGGTCAATAAAACGTTGAAAGGTCTGAGCAGCATTCCTTAAACCAAAGGGCATACGCAAAAACTCAAATAAACCAAAAGGAGTGGTAATAGCTGTCTTGTGCACATCATCGGGGTGAATAGGGATATGATGATACGCTCTGAGAATGTCAATGTGTGAGAAAACTGTACAACCGGTAATGTTTGCAGTAAAATCGTGGATATGAGGAAGGGGATATCTATCGGGGATAGTGGAGTTGTTTAAGGCTCGATAGTCACCACAGGGGCGCCAATCATTTGGCGTTGACTTAGGGACCATATGCAAGGGTGAAGCAAAAGTACTGTGAGAGGGTCTGATAATTCCCAGTTGGAGCATGTGTTGAAATTCCCTTTTGGCGATGAGCAAGCGTTCAGGTGGCATACGTCGGGGGCGAGCAAAAACGGGGTTACCGCGAGTCTCTATCCTATGGGTTACAGAATGTTTGGGATTAGCCTGGTGAAAATTGGGTTTAAGCAGGTTAGGGAAATCTCTAAGTATGGAAGAATAGGAGGTTGGATGAAGCGTGGACAATAACAATGGAACAGGTTGGGAACAAATGATAGGTTCACCGCACACAGATAACTTAGTAATACCGTCCTGGAGGCTACGGTTTTTCAAGTCAACTAATAAATTAAAATGTGTAAGAAAATCCGCACCTAAAATAGGCTGGCGAACATCCGCAATAAGAAAAATCCAAGGGAACTCACGTCGTAATCCCAAATTAAGTGTCAGCAAACGTTGTCCAAACGTACGTATTTTCGTACCGTTTGCAGCAGTAAGTTCATAAAAATTCCCAGGAGGGAGAGTGTCGGTGGGTTGCGGGGGAATAACACTAACGTCTGCTCCAGTGTCAATCAAAAATTTTAGTCCAGAAGTACGATCCACAACAGAAAGACGGCGAGATTGGGTTTGATAGCCACGAGTGTTACTCGCCCCTAACACTCGGCCTGGCGGTTTTCCGGCATCTGCGGAGCATTGTTTTTGGAGTTTCTGAACAAACAGGGGGAAACACATTTCCTTGCTCTATGACCAAATTTGTTGTGGTACCAGCAGTAGTTGTCAGACTGTCTGTTGTTGGAATTCGATCGGTAAGTTCTGCTGTTTGATCGTCGACGTGAAAAACATCGAAATTGGCGAGAGTGTGAAGCTCTGAGTTCAGCGATTTGTTCGGAAAGCAGCTTAATCTGGTCGGCAATGGACGGTGTTTCCGTCGCTGAGTTGATCGAAGACATAGAAGTTGAATTTGGTTGAACTTCTAAAATTCGATCAGCCATAGTCGCCAGTTTGTCGATGGGGACGGTGTCAATCGACGGTGCTAGGATTGTTTGTACATGTGAAGGGAGGCGCTTCAAAAACAGTTGGATGAAAAGAGCGGAATCAAGCTTGCGATCTCCCAAAGTGTTGTACATTCGACGAAGTAACTGTGATGGTGTACATTCACCAAGATCAGCACCGTTGAGGAGTTGTTCCAGACGCTTATATTCTGATATCGTTGTCCGTTTGATGATAGTGTCGCGCAAAGTGTTGAAAGGGGTGACTTGATCTGGGGCTTGTAACACATCACGAACATCCGCAGCAACTTCAGGTGGAAGCACAGAAAGCACATGATAAAACATGGTTGACTGTTGTGTGATATTCCGGAGATGGAATTGTGCTTCGACCTGACAGAACCAGATTGCTGGATCATGATGCCAAAACGGCGGGAGGTTGACTGAAACAGTGTCAATTCTGTGCGTTGGTTGATGTGATACAGAGGACATCAAATAGCTGTCTTCGGAGGCCATTTTAGGTCACGTCGGGGTCACCAGAATTTGTTGGGGTTTTATAGGAAAGTACGGTTGCGTATTATTGCGTAATTAACGACCCAACAAATAATAATGAAAACTCCGAGATTAGATAGGAAAATAGATAGTCAAAAGTGACAATAGACTGACACAATTTAACACTGTATCACGGTAGGGCACAAGGCACTGTTCAATCGTCTCGCATGTAGTCAGCCTCGTTGGCGAGTCATCGGCCGTGGTGCACGTGATGCTTATGCTGTGTTTTTCAAGTCTCACATGAGTCGCTAAGGTCCAGTGACCTTGTATCGGCCAAGCTTGCACGTCCCGTCTGCGCGTGCGTGCGTGCGTGCGGATGCTACTGTTTCCACCCTTTGGTATGGAACCTAGCGGGACTTGAGTCAAAGAAGACGGCATGCACCAGCCTGACCCAGCCTTTCAGTCAGTCTTCATACATTTATGCCTCATCATCAACTGGCCACACCGCACTTTCGCCCAACTTGGTACAGTGACAGAATACAATACATGTCGAGGAAGCAGATCAATGGTCAACCGGACAGATTAAAATGAAGCAAACACTACAGTGAGGCACTGGAATGCTTCTAGTCAAAAAGCAACTGTGGGTCCTAAACATTGATCACTCGGTGTAGTCAGCATCAGTGAGCAATACTTCACAAGCACCGATAAGCAAATATGGCTAAAGATATATTGTTTTCGGCAAGCATTGGCCAGATCTATGCTTCTTACAGTAACCTACACAGTGACATTTACATACACATTTTGTACAAAAGGACGAATTTTGATGTTCACCTGGTGACCCATGAAAATATCAGATAGGACAAGCTCAAGTAAGCTGCCCATGGCCACACCGTCTATTTGTCGATACATTATTGCCTTAAATTGTAAATGTATGTGTTTCGTGCACAGGTGGTTTAGCGACTTGAGATGAGATGTACATACGTACAGCAGATACTAGGATGATAACTATGTTGTAGTTGATGGCACTCGTCAAGCAACAAATTTACTTGATGCTCTGAATCAATTTCATCCTGCGAGCAAATTTACAATGGAAAACGAAACCGACAACATTTTCCATTTTCTAGAGGTGAATCTGGAAATAAATCCGGATGGTACACTCACTCGATTGGTGTACCGTAAGCCTACTTGGACGGCACAGTATCTCAAGTGTAGCAGTTTCTGTCCCATCAATTACAAACGAACTCTCGTACGCACAATTTTTGCAAGAGCTCGCAAGATATGCTCTGAAGGAACAATTGACAAAGAACTGCAGCATGCTTCAGCAATCCTAAGAGAGAACGGGTATCCCGAGAGGTTCATCAAGCGCAAATCCAATGAAATACCAATTGAGTAAAGTAAGACCGACGCCCTTAAGTTGTAGATATTCATCATGCTGCCATTCAAAGGGGACCAGAGCGATAGTCGATTTTGACATGGTCATCGTCAGTCCATAAGAAATGCTGTTATGCGGCCGAAGTGGTTCCGCTCCACCAAGTTAAAGCGTTGTTTTCTGTATCCTACCTGGACAAACCAGTGTACAGTTAGCGCCTCTTATATCTACCTATTTCATTGTACTAATGGTAACAGATAACTTCATACAGGTCACTTGCTCCCAAAACATACATAGGCTAGCCGCATTGACTCGGATCGGTAAGTTGCATTCTGCCTGAACCAACGGCTGTGCTACCACTTCGACTGCATCCTCCTCGATTTGGTACGCATTACCACGACAACCTGCGTATGCAAAGCTCTTCATGGAATCGCAGCTGGCTTATAAACTTCCTAGGAGAATATACCACTAGGCAGGTATGTTTACAGCATTCGAACAGTGAAACGCAGCATCCCCAATTCTCACAGCATTCGGAGGCCGCAGAGCGCAGAGAGTGTCAACTTACATTCTACTCACAACTGAGTTCGAATCGTAGATTGCGGCGTACCTGTGACACACGCCGAGTCCGATGGAAATAGACGTTCGATGGTGAGTCCGCGTCTAACATCTGATTTGCAAGCAGACTGAACAGCACCGTACACACGCAGAAGCAGCCCAGTCGAAAATCACCACGACGGAGCGCGGGCAAGCACGAAGTCTACTGTGATCGTTAATTCAAACAAACTGTACGAAGGATTTCATGAGAAAATTGATGATAGGAAAGGCTAAATGTGAATTATTAATTACCACCACAAAACTCCCCCGTAGAGCATTAAATGATAAGGAAACGCTCGATATAGCTATTTGGGGAAGAAATACAGCTAGGTTGAAGGGGAAAGACGCCGAACGCCCTAAACTTATGCGCTTGGGATCATTCCTTGAGCGACCGCATGAAGGTTCTGGAGCATTGGAATCGGTCGGTTGGCCAGCAGGGGGCAACAACTTGGTACCAGTCAAAGTAACGATAAGATCAACATAAGCGGATTTAAGACATTCAACTCCCACAGATTCCTTCGATCCATTCCTTTCCAGGTTGAAGTATTAGAATTCCGTGACAACACTTTAAAAGGACCTCCATAAGGGAGTGTCAAGTGTTTGCGAACTGCAGCAATTCTAATGAAACCAAAAGGACAAGTGTGTTCGTCCGAATGAACTCGTTGTTTGTGGGCAGTGAGGCGAGTAGATGTAGGTCGAATTGTTTGGAAGTGTTGTTTAAGAAGTTCGGCGTAGAACACAGTATCGAGTTCACCAGTGACTCGAGAATCCAAATTCAACTCCCATGGCAGTCTGAGAGTGGTGTCAAGGAGGCGTTCGGCAAGACTGCATCAAATATCCTTTATGACATTACTACGATTACCAAAGAAGACGGCTGAAATGCATCCAGACCAATGTGCGTCACGTAAACTAGCTGTGATGGCGTCTTTAAGCTGTCGATGGAAACGCTCAACAAGGCCATGTGCAGCGGAATGATAAGCCGTTATCCGAATGCGGCTACAACCCAATAGACGATTCAAGTCCCGGAACAAGGAGGAACTAAACTGAGACCCTTGATCTATGGTGATCGTACATGGCACACCGAAAAGTAAATCCATTAGTCGAAAAATGCACGTGCAACAGTTCCTGAAGATGTGTCACCTAAATGAATGGCATGCGGCCAACGAGTAAAACGGTTAACACAAGTTAGAAGGAAAGTAAAACTGTTCGATGGAGGAAGCGGTCCGACCATATCTACGTGGACATGTCTAGAACGTGCCTCAGGTAGCGCGAACGTTCCAGGGGCAGATATACTTTGTCTGTGTACTTTGCTGCTCTGCCAGCTGAGACAATGCTTAGCCCATTGACGGATATCGGAGCGCATACTAGGCCAGATGAACCGATCAGGGGCGGAAATATGGCACTGCTTTGCACAAGCAAAAGCAGATTGCTTCTTGCTCTTCCACATCCACCGGGTGCTTTTGTTCAGCATTTCGTTCAAGGGGATAAGAATGGTTGAAATATAGGGTAGGAAACCACGATAGTACGACAATATTCCTAAGAATCATTGTAGTTCATCAATATTCTTAGACTGAGGTGCATGCAAACTAGACATTATTCTATCTTACACGACAGGCAAATAGGTTTTGTCCAATTTGTAACTGAGATAACAAACAGAATCGGAGAAGAACTCATATTTGCACCCTTTAATTTCAAAGCACACTCTTGCAGGTGCTCGAGAAAAGTTGGCGATGTATTTAGATGACAAGGGTCACTGCGACCAGTAACAAGGATATCGTCCAAATATGCACAGGTGAGCTATCTCTCTTTAACCATTTTATGCACGATCCGTTGGAAAGTATTGGGCACTGAATATATTCTGAACGGAGGCTTGTGTTCTGCAATGGTCTAAGGTGGGCCTTGCGTCACCACAGCAAGAAGAAGTTCAAAGACGAACCGGAAAGAGACTTGTATACATGAAAGCACATGTGCTTATCTACTTTTGAAGGCAAAATGAAGGGAAGCTACTAAAGTACCCGTGAGCCAACCAGCAGAAGTAAAACCTCAAATGCAACAGGGGAATAAGCTACCATGTGATCAAGAGCGAATCGCATATGTCCTTAAAAATAGCATCATTGGACCGCAAGCGTAAATCGATCATCCATTTACAGCGACGGACACTGGCCAATCAGAAGTAACAAATGTAGCGGTTAAACAAATGTGATGAAACAAAGGAGAATAAGAAGTGCTGACCCAAAAATTGAAAACTAGTACAACACTTGTGTGACAAGTAAATATTCTTTTGACATAACCAAGTAGAAAATTGCTGCGTAGAAAAACCAATGGAATGTGTTCTTGCAAATGGCACTGCTGAAGATGACACGGAGAGGAGCGTCCATTAGCGATGAGGTGTGTGTAATGATCGGGATAACCTAGTGGAGGGTTTAAACAACAGTCAAAAAGTGGAAAATAGGAAGAATATAGAGCGGGTATTGAGCTCATTTATGAAAAATGATTGTCTACTAGCTATTCTCCCATCAGTGGGTAATTATTGTTGTCAATTCCTGTAACTCATCATCACGTTCGACTTCAGAATATAAGTGACTGAGATCCAGCTTGGAAACTTTTGTTCTCCATCGCATACAAGTCTTCAATACCTGGTTAGCAATATTTTTGCAGTTTCGTTACTTGGTTTACTGCCAATCTGTACTTTCCACAAATACCGACGGAATCGTCTGGTTTGAGTACAGGTACAATCGGAGTGCCCCAATCTGAATGTTGCACCGGAACCATGACTCCTATAGCGCGTGGATCGTGCGCTATATATCCGGTACACGACTAGACGGCCAACCAAAAGTAGTGGGTAGAAGACACAATAGTAAACTAGGGAAGAATTTTATTGGACGGGAGGAGCGTTAGCTAATGCTAAAAATAAGGCACCCGGAGAGACCTAACTAGGGAGAATGTCGTTGGCGTCGAGTGCGTTGACAGAGCGTCGTTCGCAGTCGAGTCTCGCGCCAACGGCGGAGATCGTTTTCGTGTTTCCAACAAACGGGAACAACGTTCCAACTGGCAAACCGAATGGTTCCCTAATACAAAAGAAAGCTATAATTTGAATATTTTAGAATAGTTTACACAGTCATACGGGGGAATCTGCAGGTCGCTACACTCTTTCTGATTGAGGACATTGAATCGCTGCCTCAACATTATGGAACATTGCAAAAGTTAATGATCCGGGTTTATAAAATTTTGGCTCGGTACACTCCTTGAGTATGATATAAGCATTGAAATGACGCATTTTCCCTAATTTGTTTTCAAACAACGATGAGAACTGGTTCAGTAATCCATTCAAACTACCGTCTTTACCCATGACTTTGTTGAGTTGCATGGT